CCAACCCCTACTGGTCATACCCTAAAGAGGGACCGCACGAAGCGCGCGACCGAGCTTGATTTTTTTTTAAATTTCGCAGTATCAATTGTCGGCAAATGAGTTATCTGAAATTTTTCACAGAAAATCTCGTTGTCCCAAAGTTGCTTTTTTTAACAACAAATTTTCAACAAAAATTTATTTTTATGATTTTTAGAAAAATCATGAAGAATTAAAGAGAATCCATTGGAATTTCTCAGGAACATTTTTTTGGGAAATTCTTCTAACAACCCATCGGAATGGTTACTTGGCGTTTTTTTAAATAGGATACACTGGTGAAGAATATCTGATTTGAATTGTAACGTGACATTTTCGTATGGGGGTTAAAAATGCCGATTACCTTCGCCCTTCTTCCCCTTCATCTAGTTAAACTCAAAATGCAAAAAAATCTATGGGCGCCAGGTAATTTTTAGCCGGAATTACCAAACCGGAGGAATCTACAAAACCAATTCTAATTAATTCAAAAACCTCAAAAATTTACTCAGAAAGGGAGATAACTAGATTTCTGGGGAAAGGTAGCGGTCCTTAGTTCGCTCAGTGTGCTAGGTTGTGGAGAGAGGGGTGGATTTCAGGTGGAGACGGGTATTGGGTGGTCAAAACTATCAAAAAAAGAGAAGAAGTCGACATCGTTCTTACGTGTTTCACTATTGAAATTTGAATAATTAATAATATACATGATTTTCTCGTCGCATTGATCTCACCAAAAGAAAGGTTTATAACAATAACTGACTGAATAACAAATACTGTCTTGGAAATAATATTTTAAAGCTTACTATATAGTCCGAAAGTAATATTTCGATTAACTCAACCGTAGGTGAGGTCATCAAATCCCTCACACAATAATATAAAAACAAAATTATCGATTAATCCCGAAATACTCGAGAATGTCGAGAAATGAAGGGACAGTATGCGAATCCCCGTGAGAGTGAGAGAGCGAGAAAATGAACTCACCAGTGCACGCATAGTGTACGGCGGACGGGAATAAAAATTAACTAAAACTAAACTCGCCGTAGCGGAAAATTAGTAGAGTCGATTTTCAAAAACTCAAAGCCAATTTGCTCGGGAAGGTCTAGCGAAGCCCATGAAACCAAAATCATAATTTTGGGATCATTGGGAGCCACTCCAGATTGAGTTATATCCGGAGGGAAATTTAAACGGGGGAACGCTTACGGAAAGCGATAGTCACCACTTGTTGCCACGTCAGGGGGATACCGCGAGGGGAAAAACTTACGCAATTTATACGTAGGGGAAATAGGGAAGCTCCTCGCCATAGGCGCGAGGGAGAAGGAAATAACCCACGTCGAAAATCGCCCGATTTCAACTGGGAAAAGACGCAAGAATTCCACTACCGAACAAACACACTCGCTGAACCCAAAAATCATCTCAAAAGATGAGTGGGATAAACCGGAAGGAGTGAGAACTCGGTACCGACCCGATTTGGGTGGAATATCCGATCCAAAAATCGGAAGGGCTCGCGGATAAATATCCGGGATAAGGGATAATGCCCAAAAAATGCCAAACTCGGACCAACAAATATGAATAAAAGGGGGTGATCAACCACTGCACGTGGCTGAGGGCCACGCAAGGGATACCGCCATAAAGGGGAAAAGACGCCTATTCGAAAATGGCTCGAAATTAGGGGAAAAATACCAGAAAACTCACGGCTTTTCGGTTTTTGAGAGTCCTCTTCCCTTTTCGGACCATCCTGGATCCTTACAGCTACAGGATAATCTCGCAATAATCCAAATTGCGCAGTTGCGTAGTATGGGCACACAGAAATTTACACGCAACTAGTGGTTTGGGACGGTCAACGCGGAACTAACTGCCCTGGGTCAGTGTCACGGGCACTAATCGCAGCGCAAATTCCAGCCAACAGAGGCGGGCTCTGATTGGCGGAGATTTTAGCACATCAAGCCGGGGGTTGGATGGCGTCACCGAATGCTTTCGGGAAATTCAAACGCGAAAAATACTCGACTCTAATTATTCTATACGTAACTTTATAAAATTGACTGACGATTAACCTGGGCCGAACCGGTGGACGTTCGGAAAATAAGCGTGGATTTTTGGCGCTTCCTACGGGTCGGTTCTCCTGGATTCACGGGGTTAAAAGACCGATACTCCTAACTAATTCTCTTAACTTTCCAAAACTCTAAGCAACCTGGNATAATTTTGGGATCATTGGGAGCCACTCCAGATTGAGTTATATCCGGAGGGAAATTTAAACGGGGGAACGCTTACGGAAAGCGATAGTCACCACTTGTTGCCACGTCAGGGGGATACCGCGAGGGGAAAAACTTACGCAATTTATACGTAGGGGAAATAGGGAAGCTCCTCGCCATAGGCGCGAGGGAGAAGGAAATAACCCACGTCGAAAATCGCCCGATTTCAACTGGGAAAAGACGCAAGAATTCCACTACCGAACAAACACACTCGCTGAACCCAAAAATCATCTCAAAAGATGAGTGGGATAAACCGGAAGGAGTGAGAACTCGGTACCGACCCGATTTGGGTGGAATATCCGATCCAAAAATCGGAAGGGCTCGCGGATAAATATCCGGGATAAGGGATAATGCCCAAAAAATGCCAAACTCGGACCAACAAATATGAATAAAAGGGGGTGATCAACCACTGCACGTGGCTGAGGGCCACGCAAGGGATACCGCCATAAAGGGGAAAAGACGCCTATTCGAAAATGGCTCGAAATTAGGGGAAAAATACCAGAAAACTCACGGCTTTTCGGTTTTTGAGAGTCCTCTTCCCTTTTCGGACCATCCTGGATCCTTACAGCTACAGGATAATCTCGCAATAATCCAAATTGCGCAGTTGCGTAGTATGGGCACACAGAAATTTACACGCAACTAGTGGTTTGGGACGGTCAACGCGGAACTAACTGCCCTGGGTCAGTGTCACGGGCACTAATCGCAGCGCAAATTCCAGCCAACAGAGGCGGGCTCTGATTGGCGGAGATTTTAGCACATCAAGCCGGGGGTTGGATGGCGTCACCGAATGCTTTCGGGAAATTCAAACGCGAAAAATACTCGACTCTAATTATTCTATACGTAACTTTATAAAATTGACTGACGATTAACCTGGGCCGAACCGGTGGACGTTCGGAAAATAAGCGTGGATTTTTGGCGCTTCCTACGGGTCGGTTCTCCTGGATTCACGGGGTTAAANGACGCCTATTCGAAAATGGCTCGAAATTAGGGGAAAAATACCAGAAAACTCACGGNCAAAAAATGCCAAACTCGGACCAACAAATATGAATAAAAGGGGGTGATCAACCACTGCACGTGGCTGAGGGCCACGCAAGGGATACCGCCATAAAGGGGAAAAGACGCCTATTCGAAAATGGCTCGAAATTAGGGGAAAAATACCAGAAAACTCACGGCTTTTCGGTTTTTGAGAGTCCTCTTCCCTTTTCGGACCATCCTGGATCCTTACAGCTACAGGATAATCTCGCAATAATCCAAATTGCGCAGTTGCGTAGTATGGGCACACAGAAATTTACACGCAACTAGTGGTTTGGGACGGTCAACGCGGAACTAACTGCCCTGGGTCAGTGTCACGGGCACTAATCGCAGCGCAAATTCCAGCCAACAGAGGCGGGCTCTGATTGGCGGAGATTTTAGCACATCAAGCCGGGGGTTGGATGGCGTCACCGAATGCTTTCGGGAAATTCAAACGCGAAAAATACTCGACTCTAATTATTCTATACGTAACTTTATAAAATTGACTGACGATTAACCTGGGCCGAACCGGTGGACGTTCGGAAAATAAGCGTGGATTTTTGGCGCTTCCTACGGGTCGGTTCTCCTGGATTCACGGGGTTAAAAGACCGATACTCCTAACTAATTCTCTTAACTTTCCAAAACTCTAAGCAACCTGGTAATTCACGGGATACAAGGGTTGCACTTGTTCCACGTGACCTTCCACCGAAAAACTGAAACGTAACCAGTTAACCACAGTAAAATCCATCATAATTTGGAGCGCCGGCATTTCAGCCGGACCTAAACGATTTACCGTAAAATCAACAATAGGGTGGTTCCCATAAAGGTTATCGGATGACTCTAATATTTGGCCCTTCTTCACGATAACCCTATGGGCCCTCAAAAACGCGTAATTTCAGATCTTTATTAGTCAAAAACGAAACGAAGTTTAATAATTATTATTATAAGTAATTATTATTTATTCCTCACCAGGATTATCAATGTAGAGTATCCCGTATCAAGTTATGCAATAAAATGTTCATGTGAGGTTCAGTTTAAATGTAAGGATTTGAACATTTTAGTGTAAGATGTAATTCTAGAGAACTCAACGACATTATTGATATTCTAGCTGTTTTTCCGGCACTCGATCGCATATGTTGGCCTATATTTGGATCCACATTTACTACTATTAACTTCTGACTCGAATTATTATATAAAATTCTCATCTAAAAAATGTACACAAATTTCTTAATCTTGCAGTAGCTCTTCAATAATGTAACTCTAAATTTCTTAACTTCCTCGTTGATTCACGCTTATCATTGTCTGAATAGTACTGGTATTTATTTCTGCACCACCAATCATTTCAAGTGATTACAAATTATTGTACATGCGCCAATTATCGTATTTGGTTAATTCACTATTAACATTTTCTCTCCTCTTTGTACGGACCGTAACATCCACAATCTTATTTGAATACATATACTTATACTTGAAAAAATATGTGTACTTAGAGACGAACCTTAAGTACACATATTTTTTCAAGTATAACAGGATATAACAGGTTTATAACAGGACATAAAGATCCGCATATTTATCACAATGCCTACTCAGGTTAGATTACCCCTATTTTCCTCCCTCAGTGCACAATATGCTATTCCTGCCTGGAACGTATGCTTTGTCCTCTATGTAACCGATTTTAGTTGAGCTCGATTGGTAAATATATCTGAAAGTTATGAATATTTAGACATCACTAACCATTAATGCTGTGACTGTCAGACACTAAAAACCCTGCGGTTCCAGGAGTATTCACTTCGTAGGTGTTTCGGCTCACGCCGGATGCGAACAATGATCTGAATGAATCCGTTGAACTATCGGATGTATTAGATTCACGTCGCTCTTGATTTTGCTCCCATCCTAAGCACTGATTCAGATAGGGTGGCATATCTTCGCTGGCATTTGATGCGCTTGAATCTCGGCGGGATAGCGTTCGCCGGGCCCGAGTAAATGGATTCTCCCTTTGGAGTGTAAATGTTCCTCCTTGTGTGCCTTTAACAAAAGTAAGTCGATCATTCCAGAGTTTCTTGCCGGTATTCACCATTTAATATTAGTGCAGAAAAATAACTTTCTCACGCGCCATATTTTTGTGGGTTGATAACAGGTAGGTTAGAAACGATGAGAACTAATAGCAATACTGCTGACCGAACCATACCTGAAGCTTTCCGATTGATTTTCCGCTGGAAAACCTCGGAAAATAATAATGCAAGAAAATTTTTTCAGCATATTATTAAAATTTGCAAAAACTGATAAGCCATTCTTGCTTCAATTCAATTAGGCCTGAATTGCATGAAGACTGTGTGATGATTTTATTTACGTGAAACATATAATAGAGAGATGAATGAATTTTTCATTGTGTTAACACGCACGAAAAAATTTTAGTGAAAAAATTAGCGCTTACTCTAAAAAATTGTATTGAATGTTGGTTAGAACTTCATTTAGATTTATTAGCATTGTATTACAAAATTCTCTTTGTTTCTTCCCTCATTTCTATAGCCGGTTATACAACTTTGTGATTTATTAGGTGTATAAATTAATTCTCGGCCTTTTTTCGACAATTCTGACATTTATTTATAAAAAAATGAATACAAATCTAATCTTGAAAATAATCACCGTCTCTTTGCACGCATTTCTCCATCTATCGGGCAATTGTCGGATTCCGGCTCGGAAGAAAGATGGTGGTTTTGACTGGATGAAGTCATCAATGCTTTGCCGGACTTCTTCAGGAGATCTAAACTGGGTATCCACCAGGTGATGTTGTAGCGCCTGAAAAAGGTGATGGTCAGAACACGCAAGGTCTGCAAAATACGCCGCATGTGGGAGAATTTCCCAGCCCAACGTGGAGATAACTTTCAGGATTTCTTTTGCCGTTTGTGGCCGCACGTTGTCCTGCAGCAAAATCACTTGCCTCGTACCACTACCAGTTAAAGGTCTCTTTTCCTCAATAGCATCACTCAATTTCACCGGTTGGTCCTGATAACGCTTAGCAGTGACAGTTTCCCCCTGTTTAAGTATCTCATAATAGATTACACCTTTGGATTCCCATGAAATACACAACAATTTTTTCCCGTGAAAGATCACATCGAAGATGTTGTCAATATCCTCAAGATATTTGCCCACTATGACCACCGCGACGTCATCTGCCAAAGCGACGAGTTTTGCTGCTCTTGGTAACGGTACCTTAAGCAGTCCGTCGTACATGACATTCCATAGGAGTGGTCCAAGTACTGAGCCCTGAGGAACACCCCCAGTGACTTTGTGCTCCATTGCACCATCTCCCGTGTCATATTTCAGGATTCAATCCATGAAATAGCTGGCTATCATTCTTCGCAGATATTTTGGTATGCTCATGGTTTTGAGGGACTCCATAATGATATCCCATCTAGCTGAGTTAAAGGCATTCTTGATGTCGAGCGTTGCTACTAGACAATACTCTTTCGAGCCGCCTTTCCACCTTTCTCCCGCGATTGCGTCCTTGGCGATTCGCGCCACAAGGCTCACTCCATCAAGCGTGGATCGTCCTTTACGGAAACCGTACTGGTTGTCAGCCATCCTGGCCTCCGACACTGTCTCTATCCTATCATGGATAATACGCTCTAGGACCTTCCCGGCCGTGTCAAGCATGCAGAGCGGACGGTAAGATGATGGGTCATCTGGTGGCTTTTTCCATTTCGGGAGAAGAACCAACCTCTGCTGCTTCCACCTGGTGGGGAATATCCCTTCACGGAGACACGTATTATACGCGCTTAGGAACATCTCCGGTGCAGCATTGATGGCAGCCTTCAGTGTGACGTTGGGGATTCCATCAAGGCCGGCGGCCTTCGTGTTCCCAATCTTGCTGCAGGCTCGCTTCAGCTCTTCCATTGTTATCAATGGAGCATCATCCTCCGAGTCCTGCCCCAGTTCAGGTTCGAATGAGGCTTGCTCTGGGAACAATGCCCCAACGATCTTAAGGAGCAGCTCTGGATCAGTCGGTGTCGGCATCGGCTGGTACCTGAGACGCGACATGATGACCTTGTATGGTCTGCCCCACGGGTCATCGTCCACTTCCTCTAAGAGTTCATTCCAGCATCGGTTTTTGCTGCGCTTGATGGCCTTCTTCAGCTTTAAGTGAGCCACTGTGTGTTCCCTCTTCAGCTGGTCAGAGTTTCTTGCCCTTTCCTCGCTGATACAGCCTTCTTGCACGGTTCGCCTCTGCTCGAAGAGTTGCAATTTCTTCGGACCACCAGTGAACTGGTGGGAGTCGGCTTATAGGGCATTTCCGAGACATGGTGTCGTCACAGGCCTCAGTGACTCTCCTCATGACCTGCTCCACTTCCCTGTCCGCCGATGATTCCTCGAATGGGCGGTGCTCCAACGCTTCACGAAAGAGTGCAAGGTCGAATTGGTCGGCTTTCCAGCCAACTGAGTTCGTCCTCTCAGTCCTGCGAGTCGCTGCCTTTCGGTTCTTGGAGGGTTCCCAAACGATCGCGTGATGGTCACTGTGGGTGTAGACATCAGTCACCTTCCATGCACTACCCCTTGCAAGGCTACTGCTCACAAAGGTGAGGTCGATGACCGACGTCGCGTCTCCTCTCACGAAGGTTGGTTCATCTCCGTTGTTTAAGAGTACCACATCTAATACAGACATGGCCTCCAGAAGAGCTTGACCTCTCTTGTTGGTCTCCCTGCTCCCCCAATCGACACCCCTGGCGTTGAAGTCCCCTGCTACTGCAATAGGCAAGTGCTCCTTCGCATCCTGAACAAGTCTCCCTAGGAAGGCCGTAAACTCATCATGAGTAAGGCTAGGCGGAGCATAACGGCTGTAGAAGTATACGTTCTCCAGCTTGGCCCTAACATAGCTCTCCCCGCTGACGGCAACGCTCTGGAACGGACACTGGCCGCAAGACCAAATGACGGCCTTCCCGGTAATATCGGTCACCCAGGATTTAGTTGATAGTGTCCTGTATGGCTCAGATATAATAGCCACATCCACCTTCAGCTCTCGCACGGTCTGCATGAGCAGATCTTCGGCAGCCTCACAATGATTGAGGTTGACCTAGAGTATCTACATCGTCGTCGTTTATTATCCAGCGCCTTGACTGCCGCCTTGTAGAGGGGACATTTGCTACTTCCAGCGACATGGGCAATGTTTTTTGCGCTACCTTGTCCAGTGCAGACTGCACACCTGGCTTCCTTCTTACAATCAACAATTTTATGAGCAGGCTCTTTACATTTGGCGCAGAGTTTGGACCGGTCAACATCACTTTTACATCCCACGGCAAGATGACCGTAGTGCCAGCACTTGAAACACTTTGTCGGCCTGTTCGTGGCGCCAATACGGCAGTTAACCCATCCTATCCGGATCATGTCTTTTCGTTCCAGTTTCGAGGCTACGTCTGAGGTGACTCTGATAGTCGCTCTTTGCATTCCCCCATAGGCCTTTCGAAGAGACTTGATGGCGTTCATGGGAATGCTGGTATTCACACCGTCTTGCTTCTGGATAGCCTCCCAGATTTCCTCCTTCGTGGTGATCTCATCAAGATCTTTCATTTCCAGAACCACTTCTGGAGTCTTGCTCACCACCTCTGCGTCGTCCTTGAGGACATCTGCCATGGCAGCTTGTAGACGAAGCTGCACTTCTAGATTTGTTCTTGTTCAGAACAATGAGGTGTGCGCCGATCTTCGTTCTGCGTATCTTGTCTGCACAGTCACCGGGGTCGCCAACCTCCTGCTTCTCCTTGCAGAGGATTTCAGCGTAGCTCTTCCCCTCTTACGCTGTGAGGAGCAACGCATCTGGACGAGTTTTAGGCCGAGCCACTTTTTACGGCCTTCTGTTCTTCGTCGCCTCCTGCCAGGCCTGCGGCTTCTCCGGTACCTTCCAATGGGCAGGCGCCGAGTTTTCTTTCAGCTCTCGTGTCTGCTCCACCCGAGTTTCTCGGATTTCTTGAGGGGTGTCTTCTTGTTTCCGTCGTTTCCTCCGAGACTTCTTCATCTCGGCTGACGGCGTTGTAGGGGTCGATTCCTTCTTCCTCTTCCCTCTCTTCAGGTCCCTGGATGTTGGCGTGACATCCTCTGTAGTTTTTCTTAGCACGCTCGAGTACGTGCGAATGAGCGACGGTGTTGTTTGTGAACTTTCCTCTATTACTGTGGTCGGTTCACTGACTTTTCGGAGGACTATCCTCTATCTCGCGCAGTCTAGTGCACTTCTTGTACTTGCTAAGCGTCGTATTAGCAAGGCTGGTCAATTCAGCGTGCAGGTTCTTCTCGCTCCTGATGAACGCGTGTATCACCTCGATAGCTTTGCCCAGCTCTTCGAGAGACACCGCCGTGTTCTGTCTAGCCGACAGGAATTCCTCGTATTTGAGCGTATCCCGGTGATCCGAATCCCACGGGGGTCGCTCATTTCCACTTGTAGCATGTGAGGCCAGGTGGTCCACCTTTGTTCCAGTCAAATGATGATTGGCTCCTCCCATATCCATGGAGCCGGCACCAGCATTAGCGCTGATGGCAGGATTCTCCCTCGAACGACTACCTGCATGGGAGCTCTTTATTTTATCATCACTCATCATGGTTCTGCGAGCTGTTATCGAGAGCCTGACCCGGGGGTGTTCTAGGGAGCCCACCCTGCACACCTCTTTTAGAGTTGGGTTTCGCAGAAGGTGTTGGTTCGCGCCGACGTATTTTATTTAGTCGATACCCTATATTCTGAACCGCAGTTGAGAATATCGAGCATTCCCCCATCCACCAGCTGGGGACGCGCCACGTTGCAGGACCTTCCAGCCTGCGAAAACTCTCGGAGGGTAAAGGCGTTCCTCGCCGAAAGGATCCGTGGTGTGTGTGTGTGTGTGTGTGTGTATGTGTATGTACGTATGTGACCAAAATTTTGTCCAACGATATCTCCTGAACAAATGAAGCGATTCGATTTTTTTTTCAATCGATGCGTTCTGATGTAACTTAGAACTGATTAGATTATGAGATCGATCGCCTCAGCGGTTTGTCAGTTATTCGAA